TAGACATACAAACGAACTTCTTAAGTAATAAAAACAAGGAAAATGCCTTTCAAAAATTGTAATGATTATAATACTCGACGATGAATGTCTTATCGGTTTATTGCTCGTTCTTTGTGCATTTTCCCGAGCCTCGCCGGACATGTCCCACCCTCTACGCTCCTCGAAGGGAAGTGGGACGTGGGAGGATGAATCGGAGCGATGTAGGACCGAATCTCGGTGGATTGTGGCGAGCAAGGCCACTCTGCCACTTACAATACCCCGTCACATATTTAACTCATCCGCAATGGATTTTACCCATCGCTCGATGGGAATTGTACTTCAAGGCGGCCCACATAGCTCCTTTGTCGTGAGGGCTTTGGCCAATGGCACGTGCCTTCGAGGCCACTAGGCCCCTACCGTAGGTCGGTAATCGAACAACGAGCACACACATCGCGTCTAGCTCGGATTCGACTTAGAGATGTTCGGTCATAATCCCGTGCACCGTAGCTTCACGCCACCGGCTTTTCAACCAAGCACAATGACCAATTATACGAATCAACGGTTCCTCTCGTACTAGGTTGAATTACTATTACAACGCTATTATCGGTAGGGTAAAACTAACCAATCTCATGATAGTCTAAATCCAACTCACGTTCCCTATTGGTGGGTGAACAATCCAACACTTGGTGAATTCCGCTTCACAATGATAGGAAGAACCAACATTGAAGGATCAAAAAGCAACGTCACTATGAATGCTTGGCTGCCACAAGCTAGTTAACCATGTGGTAATTTTTATGACACCTCTAGCTTTAAATTTCGAAGCTCTAAAGGATCGATAGGCCACGCTTTCACGGTTCGTATTCATACTAGAAATCAGAATCAAACAAGCTTTTACCCTTTTGTTCCATACGAGATTTCGTTCTCGTTGAGCTCATCTTAGACACCTGCATTATCTTTTAATAGATGTGCCGCCCTGACCAAACTCCCCACTTGACAATGTCTTCCACCCGGATTGGCCAGTCGAAGCGACCTTAGGTCCAAAAAGGGACTATGCCCCACCTTCGATTCACGGAATAAGTAAAATAACATTAAAAGTAGTGGTATTTCACCTTCGTCGAAACTCCCACTTATCCTATATCTCTCAAGTCATTTCACAAAGTCGGATTAGAGTTAAGCTCAACATGGTCTTCTTTCCCGCCGATTCCACCAAGCCCGTAATTTGGTTTTGTTGGATAGTAGACGAGGACGAGTGGGAATCTCATTAATCCATTCATGCATGTCACTAATTAGATGATGAGCCATTTGGCTACCTTAAGAGAGTCATAGTTACTCTCGTCATTTACACTTGCTTGGTTAAATTTCTTCACTTTGACATTCGAGCACTCGGGTAGAAATCACATTGTGTGAGCATCCGCAAGGACCATCGTAATGCTTTATTTCAATTAAATAGTCGGATTCCCCTTGTCCGTACCAATTCCGAGTCCACTGTTCGACATTCGATGAAGGCCCCCAAAAGGGTCGTTCCTAGTTCGTCCCTCGGCCGGCACGCGATGGCCCTCTCCCATCACGGAAGCGGCTTAAGTAGACCATTGATAGCCGATGGGTTCGAGGCTGGGACCCTCGAGCCTAACCCTCGGAGGCAATCCTTTTCCCGAGGTTACGGATCCATTTTGTTGGCTTCCCTTACCTACATTGTTTCATCGACCAAAGGCTATTCACCTTGGAGACCCGATGCGGTTATGAGTACGACCGGGCATTGGAGGCACTCGATCCTTCAAATTTTTAAGGGCCATCGAGGGCGTACCGGACACTACGTGACGTACGATGCTCTTCTAGCCGCTGGACCTTACCTCCGACTAAGTCGTTTCCAAGGTGGACGAGCCGTTAAACGGAAAAGATAACTCTTCCCGAGGCCTCCGCCGATGTCTCCGAACTCCCTAACATTGTCGTCGGTCGTCATATCCCGGTTCGGGAATTTTAACCCGATTCCCTTTCGAAGCTCGCATGCGAACGCACTCGTCGGACGGGCTTCCCCGTCTCTTAGGATCGACTAACCATGTGCAAGTGTTGTTCACATGGAACCTTTCTCCTCTTCGACCTTCAAAGTTCTCATTTGAATATTTGCTACTACCACCAAGATTTGCACCGACGGCCGCTCCACCCGGGCTCGCGCCCCTGGTTTTGCAACAATCGCCGCGGCCTCCTACTCATCGGCGCCTGGCGCTTGCCCCGACGATCGAGTATAGGTCACGCACTTCGGCGTCATCCATTTTCGGGGCTAGTTGATTCGACGGGTGAGTTATTACACACTCCTTAGTGGATTTCGACTTCCATGACCATCGTCCTATTGTCTTAATCGACCAACACCCTTTGTGAGTTCTAGGTTAGCGTACAGTTGGGCATCGTAACTCGACTTTCGATTCATCCCGCATCGCCAGTTCCGCTTACCAAAAATGGGCCACTTGGAGCTCTTGATTCCGTGGCATGGCTCAACGAAGCGACCGCACCGTCCTACCTATTTAAAGTTTGAGAATAGGTCGAGGGCGTTGCGCCCTCGATGCCTCTAATCATTGGCTTTACCCGATAGAACTCACACCGACCTTTAGCGATCCTAAGGGAAACTTCGGAGGGAACCGGCTACTAAACGGTTCAATTAGTCTTTTGCCCCTATGCCCAAGTTAGACGAATGATTTGCATGTCGGTATCACTATGGGCCTCCACCGGAGTTTCCTCCGGCTTCGCCCCACTCGGGCATAGTTCACCATCTTTCGAGTCTCGAAAGGCATGCTCTCACTCGAACCCTTCTCGGAAGATCAAGGTCAATCTACGGTGCAACCCTCGATGGGATCCCGTCAATCGGCTTCTTTGCACCTTACGGGTTTACTCGTCCGTTGACTCACACACATGTCGGACTCCTTGGTTCGTGTTTCAAGACGGGACGAATGAGGAGCCCACGAGCCGATGCTCGGAACACGCCGGTGCCGAGGCACACCGAGACGGTGTATGCTACGATCCATAATTATGATGACGGTGTCTTCGTAAGCATTTCAAAAGCTTGGGCTTGGGCCTCCACCACAATCCGCATCGGTCCATGCCCCGAGTTGATCGACGGACAACCGGCACCGTTTCACATCTAACCGAGGCGCATCGTCGACCCCCATCCACTTCCGTCCTAATAATTTCAAGCACTCTTTGACTCTCTTTTCAAAGTCCCTTTCATCTTTCCCTTACGAGTACTTGTTTGCTATCGGTCTCTAGCTCGTATTTAGCCTTAAACAAAATTTACCTCCCGATCGGGGTTGCATTTCCAAACAACTTGACTCGCGGATAGCGCCTCGTGGTGCAACATAGTCCAGCCACGATGGGGCTCTCACCCTTTTCGATGCCCCCTTTTAGGGGACTTGAGCCCGGTCCGTTGCTCGAGGACGCTTCTCCGGACTACAATTCAAATGCCACGAGTGCTCGATTCTCAAGTCGGGCACCTCCTAGTTTGCTCGTCGTTACTAAGGGAATCCTTATAAGTTTCTTTTCCTCCGCTTATTGATATGCTTAAACTCAACGGGTAGTCCCGCCCGACCTAGGGTCGTAGCGAGAGCATCCTAGCAAAGCCAATGTCGCTCGAGGGTCTTGGATATCCCAAAGCACAATAGGGCATGTGCACAATCGCTTTGGACTCAATTTTGGGCTAACCACGAGCGGAAGCACACGTAAGAGACCGATATCCGCCCCCGCCCTCGTTAGGCGAGAGGGTTTTGAGGGCGACGATACGTGACACTCGAGCGGACGTTCCCGTAGCCATGAGGCCTCGGGTGCAACTTGTGTTCAAAAACTCGATGGCTCACGAGATTCTATAATTCACACCAAATATTCAATTTCACTACATTTTTCATTGATGCAAGAGTCGAGATATCCATTGTTAAGAGTCGTTTAGCTTATCGTGAATTGGAGACGCACCCCCGGAGCACCCTTTAACAACGGAGGCACACTCTTCTTACTCTAGTTCCTTAGTGCTTCTCATATCGGGGTTTTTTTCGAGCCGCATCGAGTGCAAATGCACCCCTCCGCGGCCCCAAAGGACTTGGAGGTAAGAGCCCCCTACGGCCCTAGCATGCTCGACCATAAGTTCGTAAGTCGTTCGCCAAGTAGGTTTCGACAATGATCCTTCCGTAGGTTCACCTATGAAAACCTTGTTACGACTTCTCCTTCCTCTAAATGATAAGGTTTAGTGTACTTCTCATGATGTCGTCGTGATCCGAACACTTCACCGGACCATTCAATCGATAGGAGTGACGGGCAGAGTGTGTATAAAGGGCGGGGACATAGTCAACGCAAGTCGATGACTTGCGCCTACTAGGAATTCCTTGTTAAAGATCAATAATTGCAATGATCTATCCCCATCATGATGAAATTTGAAAGATTACCCTAGCTTATCGGCCAAGGCTATACTCATTGAATACATCGGTGTAATGCGTGTACGACCCAAAACATTTAAGGGCATCACGGACACGTTATTGCCTCAAACTTCCTTGGCTCCGAAAGCCCATAGTCCGTCTAAGAAGCTAGCTACGGAGGGTCAACTCCTCATAGCTAGTTAGTAGGCCGAGGTCTCGTTCGTTAACGAAATTAACCGGACAAATCGCTCCACTAAGAATGGCCATGTACCACCACTAATAGAATCAAGAAAGAGCTCTCCGTCCCTTCCCTCCTCTCCATCCCGTTCTTAACTCACCCTTCTCCTTCCCGTGTCCTCCTTTTCCAGCTCACCATATTCCCTCTCTCTCCCCCGTTCCCCGTATACTTCCTTTCCTCTATGGCTAAAAAGAAAAAGAAATCTGCTGCTAGGTCATCAAAGACTTCATAAGGGATAGATTATGCGGCACCAATTATTGCCCTAACAGCTCCCCGGTGCCTTCCACTTCTTTGCATCAGCTTGGACTCCACATCATCCTACTTGACTTTTCATCGAGCTAGGGATACTAGAGTTTTACACGGACACTGTCCCCTATCCCGCTCCCGACTCAATGGTTGTTGAGGATCGCTCAAATACGGACACCGAGGTCGAATCGGATTCCTCAAATTCCGAAGGGGAACCTACCTCTCGGTCCAAATTCTTTTGAACCCCCTCTTGATTTGGGTCTAATTGCACCCCTTGATGCCCTACAAGTCGGTTCTAGCCTAGCGAACTCTATCCACCACCGAGGAGACTCATGTTTGGGCAACCCTCCACGTGCAACTACGCCCACCCGGGTGCCCGACACTTTGCCCACCACCTATTTGATAGAGACTCCCAATCGGTCTTCCCGAATGTGACATTACGCTTAGGTGTAAATACGGGTACTCATAGTGCGGCTCCTCTAGCCCGCCGATCCGCTTCTAGTCTAAATTATGCGAGCATGCCCCCGATATATTGATAATCGGAAATACAGCTCGCTTACTCAAAGAAGCTTACCGTTTAGTCCCTCCAACCTTGCTCGATGCTATTACGGGATCTACTCACCCTATAAGTGACCCTCCCCCAATGCGTAATTGGAGAAATTTATTTATGAATAACCGTAGTCTTGCTTTCCGTCCAAAACTCACACACTACTCCACTATCACGAAAAGTTAGAAATGTTCTTTGGTTGTGGAGGATTCACGGTATGATGGGTGGAAATTTTACCTAGTGGGTTATGTAGTTGGTAAATCCCATGGTTACAAGGCTCTTAATGCTATTATTACAAATTCCCGGAAATGTAAAGCCAAGTCGCTAATGCATGACTCCGGATGGCTGGTATACCAATTTGATTCGAAGGCGTGAAACTCGGAGGTGTTGAATGGTGGACCATATTTGATCTATGGCATGCCCTTGATCCCGAAATCTATGCTTGGAATTTTTTGACTTCTCATTAAGGGATATGTCAACGGTTCTTGTGTGGGTGAAATTCCCCAACCTCCCCTTAAAATGTTGGTCCATTGATAGCCTATCTAAAATAGAAAGTTTGCTCGAGAAACCAATAACATGTGATCGACTTACAACCACTATGGAAAGAATTTCTTATGCTTGAGTCCTTATTGAGATGAACATCATGGATGCCCTACCATGGAAGGTGGGCATTGATTTGCCGAATGGTTCTAAGTTACTCCAACTCCGTGATCTATGAAATGGTGCCAATTCACTACAAACATTACAAAGTCTCGGGCATGCGACTTCTAGATGCAAAGTTGTTCCTCCTAAATGCGGAGTGATAGAGAAGGGGGCTACTGCAGTTGTGGATGAGGGTAATCAATCACGGGCTAGCATGGTTACCGAGCTCGGGCCGACCGATGCCATTGCTTCCAATTCTTAGGCCAAGAGGTTTGATCCCATGCATGATGAGTTTGCTGGAAATTCTAATGGTTGGAAAACGATCGGGAGGAAAGGCGGAGGGCTGAATCAACCGCTTATAGACCGGGGTGTTACTGCTATGCCGGTTCGGCGAGTAATCCCTTCCAAGGTAGAATGCAACTACCGTCAAGGCCGGATGGCTATCGTCGATTCAAAGCGAGTATAGGACTCGCTTTGTTTAGTCGGTAACTTCAATTCCGAATAACATGAGGATTGGTCAACAAAAAGAAAAGGTGACAGGTAGAGGTGCACTACGTGACATTGAGAAGAGTCGGGGAGACTAGGCGAGCCTTCGATGCGGTCGCTAGCCATATTAGCCCGTATAGACTTGAGAGATTGGTTGAGAACCCCGATCCGATAGAAGTAGTAGTTGAGGAATTGGTTCTTCCTAATGCTCATGGGGCTACCACTCGAGCTAGTAGAGGTAATGGTCAAACAAGGGCTTTTATGCGGGTGACCACTAGAAGTGGTGGGGTGAAAACTAGAGGTGGTAGTAGGCGGGTGCCTACCACCGTAGCTCTTGTATGTTAATATACTATCGGAATGTCGGAGGCCTTAACAACCCCCCGAAGCGGCATGAGGTTGCGGGCCTTATGAAAAAGAAATAAGTTGATGTGCATTCTTTTATTGAGACAAAGCTTAGCACGACTAAACTTGCTCACATGCATAGACTTCGGCTTAAGGATTGGAATGTTGTCTCTAATGTTGAGGTTGCTTCATATGCCCGTATTGTTGTAATTTGGAACCCCAAGATAGTTTTTCTTGAATGCCTTGATGTCTCTCCTCAAGGGTTAAATGTTAGAATCTCTAGTCTTATTGAGTAGTATCGCTTCAATGCCACTTTTGTTTATGCGTTTAATACTATTTCTTCCAGGAAAGATTTATGGGATGACCTACGTAGGTGGGTTCCGCATTGTCCATGGATCGTCCTAGGGGATTTCAATTCTGTTCTCTCTCGGGATGATAAATGCAATGGGGTGGCCGGCTCTACCTATGATACCTCAAATTTTTGAGATTGTTGCGACGAGTTGGGTTTGAGTGACCTAAACTATGTAGGAAGTCACTACACTTGGAATCGAGGTTTTGTCCGGACCAAGATTGACGAGTTTTGGCTAACCCCCTTTGGGCCACTCTTAGGCTACCTACTCTTATTCATTTTAGCACACCGGGTGCTTTCTTTGATTATACTCGCGGCTTCCATCTAGCTTAATACCCCGTCCCCCTAAGCCGCCTAGTTTCAAGTTTTTTAACATATGGACTTCTCATGATCGTTTCCTACACATTGTTGGGTAGCATTGGCAAGTTAGCTTCGAGGAACTCCAATGTTTGTATTTTATCGGAAATTGAAATTGTTGAAGAGACCTTTGAAATAGTTGAATAAGTTGCATTTCGATCATATTTTCGAGCGATGAGCTAGAGTAGAAGCCGAACTTCGAGCATAACCAAGAAGCTTTACAAAATGATCGAGAGAACTCTCTTCTTCTAGATTCGACCAAGAGCTTACGGGTTTAGGTGCTCGCCTTAAAGCGGTAGAAAAATCCTTTTTTGGCCATAAGCTAAAGTATAAGTTCCTCCAAGACTCGTGATAGAGGCACAAAATTCTTTCAAGCTCTTATGGGCTAGAACCACAAGCATAACTATATAGCCGCAGTTCGTGGGTGTAATGGCCATGTTACCTCTTCGATTGATACTATGGGAGAGGAATTTGTAGGGTTCTTTAAGAACCTCCTTAGTTCGGCTAAGGATACTCGCCTTTGGCTTTGGATGTCATTGCATGTAGTATGTGCTTAGATCAAATCACTCAAGCCATGCTTGCTCTCTCTTGTGACTAATGATGAGATCAAGGAGGTCATTTTTGATATAGATAGCTCTAAGGCTCCGGGGTCGGATGGGTTCTCCTCGCTCTTCTATAAAATAGCTTGGGGCATTATGGGTGCTGATTTATGTTTAGCGAGTGAGGATTTTTTCTCATCGGGGAAGCTATTGAAGCGGATTAATCACTCCATAATAGCCTTGGTTCCTAAATCTTCGCATGCTACTATGATGACTGAATTTTGGCCTATTTCTTGTTGTAATGTCATCTACAAAGTCATTTCCAAGCTTCTCTCATCCAAAATTGCTAGGGCTTTAAGTGGTATTGTTAGCCCCATGTAGAATGCTTTCCTAGGGGAAAGGAAAATGTCGGATAATATTCACCTTGTGCAGGAGCTCCTTCAACTTTATGGAAGGAAGAGAGTCTCTCCACGTTGCTTGGTTAAAGTAGATTTTTCTAAGGCCTTTGATTCTATTCAAGTGGACTTTTTTGAGAGTCGTTCTCCTCTAGCTTGGGTTTTTGCATTTCTTTATGACCTTGATTTATGACTTGTGTTGAGTCTACTTCTTTTGCGGTAGCCGTGAATGATAGGCTCTTTGGTTTCTTCCCGGGGAGGAGTGGGCTTAGGCAAGGGGACCCGCTTTCGCCCTATCTCTTCATTATCTCGCATGGAGTATTTCTCTCGCATGCTTGGGTTTGCTATCGCCCGAGAGATTCGGTTTTCACTCGAAATGTGAGGCTTTTTGTATCGATCATATTGCTTTTGCGAGATGATGTTTTTCTTTTATGTCAAGGGGATAGGTAATCGGTTCAATGTTTGCTTGGCCAACTCACTCGCTTTTAATCGATTTTAGGGCTGGTCACTAATGCGACCAAGTCTTCTATTTATTTTGGGGAGTTAACAACGATCGAGAACTACTATTGTTCAAGACTTAGGATTCAATAAAGGTACCTTTCCCTTTAGATATTTGGGAGTCCCTCTTAGTCCGCATAGACTACCGACCAACCAGCTTTATCCGTTTCTTTAGAAGCTTGAGGGTGCTATTTAGGGTTGGATGGGGAAGCACCTTTCTTTTGTTAGTAGATTGGAGCTCTTGAGGTCGGTTTTGATTGGCATGATCCGAGTTCTAGATATCTATCTTCCCCTTCCACCCACGGTTATATCTAGCATGGTCGGCATCTGCAGGAACTTCCTTTGGTCGAGCGATGCTTAAATATTCAAGACTCGCCTCGGTTTCTTGGAAGCATGTATGCCGCCCCAATGAGGAGGGCGGTCTTGGACTCTTTGATATCAAATCTCGTAATGCCTCTTTTATTGCTAAGTAAATTTAGGATCCGCATCTTAAGTCCGATTCATTTTGGATTCGATGGGTACATCACTATTATCTTCACGACCATTCGACTTGGGAGGCTCGAGCCCCCAAACATGGCTCCCCTTTGTGGAAATCCATCACTCGCTCTAAAAGGTCGACTAGTCCGAGCAACTTAGGGATAGTACGCGGGTCATTGATATGATGTACGGTTAGTATGTCGAGGATAGGAACTTTACACGACATGCTTATGAGCATTTTTGATCGAAAGGTGTCTTGGTAAGCTGGGTCCATATGGTCTAGAAACAATGGTCTTTACCACGACATGCTTTTATTCTCCGGTTGGACATTAGGGGCAAGTTGAGAACTAGATATCGGCTTCACTATATTACCGAAGATCCCTTGTGTCTTTTATGTCACTAAGATGAGGAGTCCCACGATCATCTTTTCTTTACTTGCAATTGGTCTTGGTCTCTATGGTCTCGGATCAAACAGTGGTTACATCTTTCTTGAGGTATGACTACTCTTTTGAGTGTTGTTAGAGGACTATCTACCCGATGAAAAAACTTAGTTTCACGGATGAACGAGTCTCGCTAAGCATTATGGTCTACCTCATATGGGGGAGAGAAATCGAAGGATCTTTGAGGACACCCATAGATCGATTGACCACACCCTCGGGCGGTTCCAAGTCTTGTTCTTCATGATCTTTTATTATCATCATAAGGATCCCGCTATTTTGGTCAGTTGGGTAGGCTTTCCGCTCTCGGGGGCTTGCAACCTCTCGATCGTGGCCGACACTTAGGCTTTGGTTGATGGTTTTGATGTGCTAGTCTTTTTCCGTTGTGGTGGCTCGGCTTGGTCGTTCCCGCCTCTGTCCGCCCCTTGTGCTTCCGCCTAGTGGGTGCTTTCCTCTCGGCTTTGGGATTCGCCTCTGTCCGGTCTACTTGTTTTAATAGCCCGGCTACGATTAGCCTATGCTCGAGTCCTCGTTTGGGTTGGTAGTTTGATGCGACTAGGTCGACCCTCCTATCTTCGAGTTCTATTCGGCCTCGAGTGCTACTTGTTCCAACTCCGGGTTTTTTTGCTTTTTCACTCTACGTGCATAGTTGGGTTTTGTAAATTGTTAGATCACTTTCGGGAAAAATTTTTTGTATGCTTCGATAAGCCTCCGTACATGGTTCCAGTTAACTAGTTAAGTATATTGAGGGGTTTTTCTTGGAATCTTCGCTGTCAAATTCCTTGAGCAACCTTTAGTTTCTAGCTCTTTTGCCTTGGGTTTTTTAGGAGCTTGTTCCCAATTTTGTATATCATGTATAAGCTACTACTGCTCGGTTCTCCAGCTTCGGTTTCTTTTTGATTTATACACTTACATTTAAATAAAAAAAAGAAAGAGCTCTCAATAATATCAAGAAAGAGCTCTCGGTAAAAGGCGCGCTAGGAGTAAGAAAGTAGAGAGAGATGCTCTCCTCCCATACGGATCTTTCCCTCAAATCCGGTCGACGCCACTACTGAAATTTCTTCCTTATAACCCGTCCGCTCTTCTTCCCTACCTACCCTCTCTCTCTCCACCTTCGACTCATCGTCCCCCATCTCTTTTCTCTCTCCCCGTCTTCTTCTTCTTCCCCACTCGCATTATTCTTCTCTCTCCTCGTTCTCCCTTTCCCCCTCCTTCTCTCGAGTCTTATGGCGAAGAAAAAGAAGAAATTAGGGTCTCCATCTGCTGGAACATAGAGCTCCCACGGACACTCGTGCTAGCTCTTCGCTGCAGCCATGGCTCCCCTTCCCCGCAAATTTGAGTGAAAATTTAGGTTCCCGCCCGGAATTTTCAACTTTTCCTTTTCCCACTCAAGGACTAGCTGTGCCTAGAATTCCCATTGCTCCCACCCAACCTCTTCCTTAGCGGCCTTCCGGTCACCTCTCGGTCGGTATGCCCGGCATTGGGTCTAGAGAAGTTGCCTCTCCCTCCCTGTTTCAACCGGGCCTCCCACTAGTGACTACCCTAGCCACCCATCTCCCGCCAACTCGGGTACTTCTCAACCCTTTTTTGAAAAATGGCATGACTTGTTTACTAATAATCATAGTCCCGAATTGTGCCCTAAGCTCACCCATTTTACTACTATAACCGAAAGTCAAACATATGTCTTGCTTGATGATGATCCGAAATGTGAAATCTAAAAAAATTGTTTGATTGCTTACATTGCTAGGAGATCGTCGGGATTTTGGGCCCTAAACGGGATTATTGTTAGTGTATGAAAGTGTTCGGCTACCCTCTCTATTCATGATTTGGGTTGGCTTGTCTATAAATTTATCTCCGAAGAGGCCAAGACATCGGTCTTTGAATGGGGGTTCATACTTAATATTTGGTCGACTATTGTTGTGACCCATGTCGGAGTCCTTTGATTTCTCACACAAGGAGATGTCACGGGTCCCTATTTGGGTGAAGCTTTCCAACCTACCCCTCAAATGTTAGTCTCCCTTGTGCCTCTCTAAAGTCGCCGACTTGCTTGGCAAACCTATCTAGTGTGATTGGCTTACGGCCTCCATGGAACGTATTTCATATGCTCGGGTTTTGGTTGAGCTAAATATCATGGAGGAGTTACTACGAATTGTCAAAATTAGGCTCCCCAATGGCTCATTCCTTCTCCAACCAATGGTCTATGAAACACTACCTACACACTTGTAAGACTCGTCGAGTTTTGGGACGCTCCGCTTCCTCTTATGGGAAGTAACCGGTGGTGGTCCGGCTTGTCGAGGGCACGGCCGTGAATGGGGTTGGGAGCTCCCACCAAGCCGGTGTCAATATTCTTCGTCGAACGAGGCTCGCCGCTATCGACCCCCGAGCCACGGCTCCGTCGGAGGCCCCTCATTTAGAACCAATGGTTTTGGAGGTCGTTGCGACTTCGGAAGGTCGGGTGACAATTACCGGGAAAGCCAAAGCCCATTCCCGGCCAAGTCGGAGGCCTTAGTCTTAGCGAGCCGGCTCTCGCCGCACCTAGGCGATAGTCTCTAACGCCCTCTCGACGGGAAAATCCGATGGACTCGGCCTCACCTTCTGCGGCTCATAAAAGCAAGAGCCAAGTCTGTTTTGGCGGGTTCTACCGGTATGGGGGTTCGGGCAAGTCATGGTAGCCTTACGGAAAATGTTGACAAGTTCTCGGTAGGCCGGGGTGCGGCGGCCGGACCTTGTACTAGGGTCGTTAGCCTCAAAAGCGGATATGGATTGAGGGTGAAAGTCAAGCCGAGGAGGTTCCGGATGCCGTATGGTATCTTAGGTTAATCGATCGTCTTTTGGTACTCGAGCTGAGCCTCCGGATAGGCGTAGAAGCTATAAAACTAAAAGAAGTGCGAAAGGGGTTCCCACCTCCTCGATAGCTTTATGCTAATTCTCGGTTGGAATGTTAGAGGTCTAAACGAGTCTCCTAAAGCGGCATGAGGTTGCGGGCCTCATGAAAAAGAAAAAGATAGATGTTTGTGCTTTTGTTGAACCTAAGCTCATCCTTTCCAAATTGGCTCAAATGTACGAGGTTTCGATTTAAGTTCGGCGGCTTATCTCCAATGCGGCGGATGCCTCCAAGGAACATATTCTCCTCTTTTGGAATCCTACTATAGTTTTGCTAGATCTTCTTGACATTTACGCTCAATGGCTGAATGTCCAAATTTGTAGCTTTGTTCATTAGTCGGTGTTCAATGCCACTTTTGTGTACGGCTACCATATAATTTTACATCGAAGGGCACTCCGGGAGGACCTTCATAACCGAAGCCCCAATTGCCCGTGGCTTGTGCTTGAGGACTTCAACTCGATTCTCAACCGGGACGACAAGCACAATGGAGCAAGTGTGTTCTACCTATGAGATATCGGACTTTCGTTCTTGTTGCTTGGATCTTGGCCTTAAGGATCTCACCTATACGGGTGGTCGATTTACATGGAGCGATGGGACCGTCTAAATGAAGATTGATAGAGTCCTTACAAACCCCCTTTGGTCCATGTCCCTTTTCCCGGCCTTCCGTCCACTTCGACTCACTAGGGGCCTTCTCGGATCATGCTTAAGCCTAGGTTCAAATAGGCGATCGGCCCCTCAAAGTTGAAAACCTTTCAAGTTTTTTAATATATGGGCGAACCATGAAAGCTTCCTCGACTTGTTGATTGACATTGGCACTCGTGACACAAGCGACGAGTCCTATGTTTTTCTTATGTCGGAAGTTGAAGGCTTTGAAATGGCCTCTTAAAACCCACAATCTGTTTTATTTCAGCCATATTTCGAAAGAGTTGCCGGAGCGACTGTCGATCTTGAGCTCCACCAACGAGCCCTCCAACATGATAGGGATAGCCCTCGGCCTCTCGATAAGGAGAGGCGCCTACGGATGGATTTGGCCAATCTTAAGTCGATGGAGAAAATGTTTTTTGGTCAAAAGCTTAAATGCAAGTACCGGAAAAGAGTGATCGGGACGGCTCGCTTCTTCCACACTTTCATGAATCGAAGCCACAAGAGGAACTTCATTGCAACCATAGAGGACACTAATGGGCGACTCACCACTTCACTCCGTGTCGTGGGTAGTATCTTTGTTCGATACTATACTAATCTGTTAGGTCGTGCTAGGGCCACTCTTCCTCTTAATGTGGAGGTTATTTCCAATGGGCCTCACCTTGATATGAGTTCTCATGCTTTGCTACTAGCTCCGGTTACCACCGAGGATATCGGGGCCACTTTGTTTGGGATTGCCAATGACAAAGCCCCGGTCCGGATGGTTACTCTTCCTTATTTTTTAAGGAAGCCTAGGATATCATAGGGGCTGATTTCTATCGTTGCGGTGAAGGTCAAGCCGACATAGAGCACGGTGTGAATCAGTCGGAACAAATCTTAAGCAATCAATAGTTTTGAGCTTCCTTTTAACCGCTAGCCATAAAACGAACGCATGTCTCGGTAAGGTCCATGGTCCCCAAACTCCCCGGCCTAGCTAATCGGCATACCCATTGGTCGGAGATTGTCATAAGCATTGCGGGAGAATCTACCTAAATTCCAATATCCTAGTTTTTCAATCACCTAGCCGGCGTCATCGAATTTCTCAACAAGGTCTGTCTCCGGTGGATAGGATTGCTTTCCATATGGGTGAAGTGTTTATGTAAACTTGGACCTCCCACACACACTTGTCTTGCGGTAAAAATGATGGACCCATTGAATCTAAATTGAGTCGGTTTTACGGTGGATGTTCCGGAGTTGCTTGGCAAAGAAGCAAGAGTTGAGGACTCTAAAGTCATGTAAGCCGATACCTCCTTCCCTTTTTGGGTAACAAAGCCGTCACTAGGCCACTAGAGCGGAATGACATTAATTCTCATCCCCGAGTCCATAGGAAATTCCCGCAAATGCCGGTGATACGGGACATGACCAAAGCCGGAATTGGGAAGATACCTAGCCAAAGCGTATCAACCCGGCCAAGACAGTTCACGGTAGCTCAAGCCGGCCAAGCATAGGAGAGATGCTTCCCCGACCAAGACCGAACAACAAACTCTAGGCTCGAAGTAGAGGTGAGAACCGGCTCACAAGTAGCCTATGGGGACCGAGGGAACCCTCATATAACGAAAAGGAAAAGCTCCTTCGGTGAACCCCGTATCTTGAAGGAGGGCTAGCTTCAAGCAGATTATTGACACCCTCAAAGTAGATAAAAGATTTAGTTGGGTTTACGAAGCAAGCCACGATGTGCGACCAAAAGTATTCAACTGCTCGAGCCAAACACTAAGCCGAAGCTTTATCCCCTCTACTCGAAGCATAACGTCATCGGCAAAGGTAATGTGGTTAATTCGATGAGGCTCACATTTGGGATGGAATCTGAATTCATCGGTGGATGATATGAGCTAGAGCATACGGGAAAAGTATTCCATACAAGCGAGTAAAGAGATAAGGGGAAAGGGGGTCCCTTTGTCGGATGCTAGTTTTTCCGGAAAGAAACTAAATAGGTTACCGTTGACCACAATTGAGTAGGAGGATGACTCCACGCAAGACATTACCCGGTGGACAAAATGGTTAGGGAAGCCAAGCTATAAAAGAAGGCCTCTTAAGAAGGCCCACTGAATGGAGTTAAAAGCTTTCTTGAAATTAACCTTCAAAAGACATCGTGGCGAAGCCCACTTTCTACCATACCGACGAAGGAGCTCTTGCGGTAGGTGAATGTTATTAGACATCATCCTACCTCCCAAGAAAGTGTTTTGCATAGAACTAACAATATCCTTCGGAGCCGAGGCTAATCTGAAAGAGAGGATCTTGGAGATCACCTTGTATACGACACCGTAGCAAGAAATTAGCCTATAATCCGAAAGAGTAGAGGTATGTGCCGATTTGGGCACCAAGGCAATGACAGAGAGATTGACTCGCTTTAGGAGTCTCCCCGAGGTGAAAAAATCCTTAACCGTAGAACAAAAATCATCACCGATGATTCCCCAAGCTCATTTAAAAAACAACAAAATATACTCATCCGGCCTAGGGCTTTATCATTGTCAATCCCAAATAGAATCTCATTGATTTGGCCACTGAGAGACGGGAGTTAGCGAGCATATCAAAAGCTCGAAGGATCAAGACAAGGCCCGTTAGTGACAACCGCCACGTCTAGGGGAGAGTGTCCCGAGAGGAGCCTAGCAAATTCCTATAGTAGTCGATAAACAAAGCCCCAACAACGAAGGAGAGGTGGTAACCTACCCGGAGTGGTCTTGGATGGAGGCAATGAAGTTTCTCATGTGGCTTTGGCTCATAAGAGTGTGGAAGTATCGGTTGCCCTTATCACTCTCCTTTAGGAATTTGCACTTTAACTTTTGGCTAAAGAACATCTTCTCGGCTAATTTTAAGCGAACCAAATTCGAGTCTCAAATGTTGCTCTTGCTCTAAAAGGGAGGAACTATCCCCGTCGGTTTGGACAACCTCGCTGGAGGTTCTCAAGGTCGGTAGTTGCTCGGGAAACCTTTTCGGAGATGTGGCTAAAGTGAACCTTGTTTAGGGCTTTCGAGAGCCCCTTCAAAGTCTTCGACTTTTTACACAACACATACATTGGCTCGCCCCCAAAGTCACCATACCAGTCTTTGTTCTACCGTCGAGAGGAAACTCGTCATGCTCGTCCACATGTTGAAAAATTTAAAGCAAATGCGGCCTAGAGGGGACTAGTGAGCAAGCTATACCAAGGCTTGGCCATGGTCGAGAAAGCTCCGGGGGCTCGAAGTGAATAGAAGCGGAGTTCGTTGGAGAGTTAGCCAATAATGATTGGCTAGAACTCGTTAATCTTAGTCCAAACTCTACCGCTATTCCATGTAAAGTGACTACCTGTGTAGTTGAGGTCGGCGAGGCCTAAGTCCAAGCAACAAGAGCGAAAGTCCGAAGTCCTATAGGATGTTACATCCATGCCATTGTGCTTGTTAGTCGGCGAAAGGACCGAGTTGAAGTCACCTAAAATAAGCCAAGGACCATTGGTAGTCCATCTACGAAGAATTCGAATAAGGGTATTATAACCATAAACAAAAGTAGCTCGAAAGCTCAACTAATGGACAAGGCCGGTGATGTTGACCTTCAACCCTCGAGCGAGAGACATCTAAATGATCAATTAGAATTATTTCCAGATTCCAAACCGAGATCTCTTTATTTTTTTTATTTAAAGGTAAGTATATAAATCAAAGGAAACTAGCTGAAAAAATAACCGACAAGAGTAGCATATACGGGATGTACAAAAATGGGAACGAGCTCCCAAACAAAACAAAAAGAGAAAACCCTAAGCGATCGTGCGCATGCCCCGTTGCATTTTGGGATATCCAAGACCCTCGAGCATCATCGGCTTTGCTAGGATGCTCTCGCTGCGACCCCGGGTCGGACAAGACTACCCGTTGAGTTTAAGCATATCAATAGGCGGAGGAAAAGAAACTTACAAGGATTCCCTTAGTAACGCCGAGCGAGCCGGGAGGTGCCCGACTTAAGAATCGAGTGCTCGTGGCATTTGAATTATAGTCTAGAGAAGCATCCTCGGCGATGGACCAAGCCCAAGTCCCCTAGAAGGGAGCGCCGGAGAGGGTGATTGCCCCGTCGTGGCCGGACCCCGTTGCACCATGAGGCGTTGTCCGTGAGTCGGGTTGTTTGGGAATGCGGCCCAATCGGGTAGTAAATTCCATCCAAGGCCAAATACGGGCGAGAGCCAATAGCAAATAAGTACCGCAAGGGAAAGATGAAAAGGACCTTGAAAAAAGAGTCAAAGAATGCTTGAAATTACCGATAATGTGCCTCTCTCTCAATCC